TTAGTCCACCATCTTCAGCGTGCCAACTACATCCCAGCACTCCAGCTGAATCAGTCCATGAAGGCCAGTCTGACGGTAAGGGTAACAGTCCTGCTAAGTGTGGAAGTTTCTCTTGATGTGATTGACCACTTTTGATAGTCCTCAAGAAAAATCCTGCTATTATACTATTCTTTGAAAGACTAGAAATAAGTTCCTACATGTCAAGTTGTAGCTGTCAGCTGAACGTAAAGGTTGGCTGAAATAATTTTACTATTGCAAACTGCTGTGTGAAGTTATAAATTAAACATTGCAGACCATGGTTGACTCTGCAGAAAGTTTGTTTGCAACTGAAGAAAAAATAGGTATCTTTTCTACCATCCCATCTTTTCATTCAGATCCTCAGATCCCTCTGTTATGTGTGGTTTAGTCTATGAAAGTAATTTGCGCCAATTTTTTCTGTGGAATGAAGAGTATGTTGTATGTCATGTCTTCTATCTTGCTTTTACCTGAGAGCAGTCTGGACGCTCAACAGGTAAAGTATGTCTAGTGAGGTTCAGTTGTGATTTTGGGCTTTTTATTTTCTCAAATTATAGCACAAGATCTCTGATTGCAGTAGTTTCATGCTACCAATTTTATGACATGAATTCTAACCTATGTTTCTCAAAATATCCAGATTAAACTTCGTGTTATGTGAACTTTTATTAGGGATCCTCTGATGCATGTGTTGTTTTTTGAAAGTGTATTTTTCCAGTAAAACAAACTTAAAAGGTAGTCTTGGAAGTTTTAAGTCCCTTATGTATGTGAAATCTGTGCTCCACACAGGTGTGTGTAGGTAGATTTTCTTAGCTTATTTTCGCATCATTTTGTCCAACATAATTTGCAGTTGCCCTTTGTATTCAGTAATCTCAGACATCGGTATTTAATGATAACTAGGGGAAAGCCTGCTCTTCCATAAGCCATTTGAAAACTGTAGATATTAAGAAGTATGTAAGAATAAGGCTCTGCAAAGTGTCAGTGCTTTTAACTAGTAGTTTTATATTCTACTTTTATTCTTGGCTTCCTTGCCCTTATCCAAAACTACTAGGTGAAATTGGTGTGTATTCCTGGGTGGAACTTGGAGCTTGCTGTGGCTCTGTGCAGTGGATTTGTTCTCCTTTGTCTGTAGAGCAAATTTAGGCCTGAGTTAGAAAGAGCAGAGATAGTTCTCTGNGCTGATACTTTTCCTTCTTGCTTTACAGTCCCAAGGCCAAAGCCTTTATCAACAGCAACAAGGCAGGCTAATGCAGGAAATGTACATACAAGAGCAACTTTCATCAGTAAGGTGTTGTCCAAAATTGGAGAAGTATGGTTGGGAAATGAGCAGAAAACACATACGTCACAATATGACAGGTAAGCAGCCTTTTATAAAAGTCTTGAGCTATGTGTTTGGAGAGGAACGTGGAGAGAGAGTGAGTGGTAGACAGAGAGAAAGAATTCAATTTGAATTGTGTTAGCTTTTTGGTGGGAAGATGCACATGAATCAAACTTTGTTTTGCTTTTTTGCACATATAGGATATAACATTGAAGAATCAATTCATCCTAAGTAGTGTTTGGAGAGTTTTTCTGCTATGATAATCTTCTCTATACAAATACATTTATTTACATTAAGGCAAATGTGCTTACAGAGTTTAAGACAGCTGAAACTCAATCTGTTTTTAACTACTATGAAGCTGTTGGTGTACTGACTTCTATAGACTTGTTTATGTGATCACATAGTAATCTTTTACCAGTTCCTGCTCGGTTATTTAAAAATAAGCAGAATTACAAAGAGTGGGGAAAAGGCTCATAATTGTCATGTGATTGTCCTACATGGGCTGTGGTTAAATAAACTTTAATTCTGGTATGCTTGGACTTTGAGGAAATGAAATTCAGTTATATTTTTGTTTTCCTTCTAGTCCTAGAACTACCGAGTCAGCAGTCAGTACACATCTTCTCCCTAGTACAGAGTTGCCTGATGCATTTCTTGGGACACCTATTACAAAACTTTCTCAAAAGTGTTCAAGGTATAGTAGATCAGACTTTATATTTCAAAATGGTATTGTTTATCATGTACATACATGTGCATGTGTGTATGCTTTTTTAGTTTACCTAGGATTCTGTTGCATTTAGTTTTATATCTTAAAGTATCTCTTTAGGGACAAAATTAGGTGGACAATTTGAAATGGTCCCTGCACTGAAATGCAGATGAGTTTTCTCCACTGCTGAGAATTAGGTCACTTGTGCTACTTAAAATTGGGGTATTCTTATGTCAGAGGCAGGGATTTAGGAAATCAGGTATGAAATGTAAAGAAATAATGAAAAAATGCCCCAAAGTGCGTGTCACTTGTTTATGGGACTGATAGATATCCCCATCAGTGAGGTTGTATTTCTTGTTCGTCCAGTGCTTTTGTTCTGCATCATCTGAGATGATCACAGCATGCTTTTTTTTCATTTATTTATTGCTGTTCCTAGTTTAAATTGTGTGTT